CCTCCTCGCCCTCCCTCCCCCTCCTCCCTCTCCTCCTCCCTCCCTCCCCCTCCTCCCTCCCTCCCTCCCTCCTCCTCCCTCCTCCCTCCCCCTCCTCCCTCTCCTCCCTCCTCTCCCCTCTCCTCCCTCCCTCTTCCTCCCTCCCTCTCCTCCCTCTCCTCCCTCCCTCCCCCCTCCTCCCTCCCTCCCCTCCTCCCCTTCCTTCCCCCTCCTCCCCTCCCTCCCCCTCCTCCCTCTCCTCCCTCCCTCCCTCCCTCCCCCTCCTCCCTCCCTCCCCCCTCCCTCCCTCTCCTCCCTCCCTCTCCTCCCTCTCCTCCCTCCCCCTCCATCCCTCCCTCCCTCCTCCTCCCTCCCTATCCTCCCCCTCCTCCCTCCCTCCCTCTCCTCCCTCTCCTCCCCTTCCCCCTCCTCCCTCCCTCTCCCTCCTCCCCTCCCTCCCTCTCCTCCCTCCCCCCTACTCCCTCCCCCCCCCTCCCTCCCCTCCCCCTCCCTCCCCTCCTCCTCGCCCATTGCCTCCCCCCCCCACGGGATCCCTGATTCCTGGGGCGTCTCCCTCCGTCTCCCCTCCTCCCCCGCCAAGCCCCCGGCACCGATCCCCCCCGGGGGTCCGGCCTCCTCCTCCTCCGCCTCCCCCCTCCCACCCACCCCGGCACGCCCAGCGCCCCCCCCCCCCCCCTAACGCACCTGTAGCGGGCCCCCCTTTGCCTCGCACGCCGCCGGCCAGGCGCACCCTTCCCACCGCACCACGTGGGCCCCCCCCCCATTCCCCTAACCGATGTTCAAAGCGCTCGGGATGTGCCTCAGAGCCCCCCGCCCCCCCGCTCCGTCTTCAGGCGTACCCTCCACCGCCTGGGGGCCCCCCCCCCCACCCCCCGGTCCATATCCCCGCCGTGCCTTCCGCCCTCTTCTTCTCGTGGGACGGCAGCACCACGTGACGGCGGCCTCAGCCCCCGCCCTCTCAGGCGAAGCGGGTTGAGGGAAGTTCCGTAGGGATCCTCCACCTCCACCCGCAGCATCCCGAGCATCACCGACCCTCGCTGAAGGTCACCCACTCCTCCCCCCGCCCCCCCCCCCCCCCCCCGGCCCCCCCACGTCGCCATTCAACTCCGCCCTGACGCAAGCTGTGACTATCCCACCCCCCTCCCCCCACACACACAGGCTCCACCGTGCCACCTCCCCCGCCGCTCCTAACCGCTGGGTCTCCCCGTCCCCTCCGGTCCATCCGCCATCCCACCGCAGCTTTCCCTAGGCTGCTCCTCCCCAGCCCCCGTTCCCCGCCGGCCCCAGGCCGGCCCCAGGCTGGCCCCAGGCCGGCCCCAGGCCGGCCCCAGGCCGGCCCCGGGCCCGTCTGGGGCGGCCACTCGCAAACCCCCCCCGGGGCTGGCTGGGAGATCCACGGAGGTGCCGACGTGCACCGCATTGGCCACCTCAGGTAGAACGGCGAACGGGGTTCCGCTGGCGATCACATCCCCAGGATCATCGTCATCGTCGTCATCGTCAGCGTCAGCATCGGTCAGCGTCAGCTTCGGGCAATTCGCCAGAATGGCAAAGCGTCCCTCCGCTCGCCAACGGTCTTAAATGATAGCAGCAAAGCAGGGTGGACATCGACATCGTTTAAACTCATTCCAGGTGCGGTGATTATATCATCGATTGGTTAATCAGTCAAATGGTTATGATTAGTAAGGGAGTTGCAGATTAGTAATGAGTTGGAACGCGTGTTACTGTGATTGTATGCTACGTTAGTAATACGCTAATGAGTATGCGTTTCCCCCTGTAAGGAATTGTAACGTGTTATTTAATAATAACGCTTCCAAGCCGCACTAAGCCTGTAGCTGTCAGAGCGATAAAAAGTTATTTCTATTTCTCTCAATTTCAAATGGATTCTCTGATTAGTCTTTTGCCGGTAATAATTAGTTTTGCACAACACTTCAACGTTATCAAAATCGATTGAGTGTCCCTTGTTGGCAAGCATGTTCTGCCACTGCCGACAGTTGTGTTTGAGATAATTTAATATTTCTCTGACGTTCTTTTAGGTCTTACGCTGATGTTACATCCCGTCCGTCCAATATAGCATCTGCCGCATAAACAATTAATCCGATATACACCTTCTGTTGATAATTTAGGTAATTCGTCTTCAGTGCAAGATACTATCTTCTTTGGTTCTTTCGGTAAAGTCACCACGTAGAATGAGAATAAAATAATAAATTGATAAAATAAAATAACACAATCATATTCTCACGACGTTCAAGCGCTGTCCTACCAGACAGTCTCGTCCCTTCACTGATGAAGGCCGCTTGTGTTGTGGCCGAAATTGTCGTGAGAATATTATTGTGTTATTTTATTTTATCAATTTATTATTTTATTCTCATTCTACGTGGTGGTGACTTTACCGAAAGAACCAAAGAAGATGAATCATTGCAATCACGAAAGCTTTAAATTGCAAGATGCTAGTTTTTTTTTAATTTTGTGTACTGTACCAAATCTTGCTGTGATGTTTTAGCTTTTGCAAAAACACGGGGCTAATCTGTCAGTTACTCCTGAGATATATGGAATTTTTTTATTGTTTTAACAATCTGATCGCTTTCAAGCAGTGCTGCTTTGCGATCGTGATTTGGCATTCAGTGCTCTGTTAATTTGAGCATTATTGTAGCCATTCTGTCGTAGTGCGTCTTTGACGTGTTTAATCTCTCTCACTAGACTCTCACCATCTGACACTGTTTTATTAGCCCCGATGTACGAGCGCCTTGATAAGAGAGGATTTATGAGCTGGATGATGATCATGATCATGATGACCATGATGATGATGATGATGCGAATCTGCATTCAGGTAGGCATCAGTGTGCGTTTGCTTTCTGTAAACGCTGCGTGGTGTCATTATTTTTGTTTTACCGTTTAGGCCATGTCCAAGCAAAATGTCTAAGGAGCGGAAGTGTGTTGTTCACCTCCATTTCCACGGTGAACTGGATGGCCGGGGTTTTTGTGCATTGAGATGATTTAGATCAATCATTAAGCGTGTCTTTTACCGCGTGGCCAGACAACCAAAGTGTCGTCCACATATCTAAACCAAAAAGATGGTTTTCGCGTGCTCGAGGCAAGCGCTCTCATTTCAAAGTTTTCCACGTGCACATTTGTATATATATATAGCAGGAGATATAAAAAGAAATCCCCACTCCATAAGGGGGGAAACGCATGCTGATTAACGGATTACTGACGTAGCATACAATCGCAATAACACGTGTTACAACCGAATACTCGTCTGAAACGCATTACTCATAATAACCATTGACTGATTACCAATCGATTGTATAATCACTGCACCCTGGAATGAGTTAAACGATGACGATGTCCACCCTGCTTTGCTGCTCTATTTTAAGACCGGGAGCGAGCGGAGAGGCCTTCACCAATCTGGCCCGAATTGCCCGATGATGATGATGATGCTGGGGATGTAATCACCGGCGAAACGACGTACTGGTGCATCAAAAACCGTGCATGTTGTGGATTCACTCTTCAACAACGCCACCGGCGTGTGGCTAAAGTGGCGGACTAATTTGTCCTCGCGTCGGGTGGTGGAGGGTTACGACACATTTATAAATTAAGCGGTCTGACCCTTCATCATCTTTGGCTCTTTCGTCAAAATCACCAGCTGCGTAGAATGAGAATAAAATAATAAAATAACACGGTACAATTCTCCCGACGTTTCGGGCCACAACACAAGCGGCCTTCTTCAAGGTGAACGGAACAGAACTGTCGGGGCGACAGGGCCACAGTTCTGTCCATTTCGCCCGAAGGAGGCCCCTTTGTGCTGTGGCCGAAACGTCGGGACGACAGGGCCACAGGTCAGTCCCTTTCGCCCGAAGAAGGCCCCTTTGTGCTGTGGCCGAAACGTCGGGACAACAGGGCCACAGGTCTGTCCCTTTCGCCCGAAGAAGGCCCCCTTTGTGTTGTGGCCGAAACGTCGGGAGAATTTTACCGTGCTATTTTATTATTTCACTCTCAGTCTAAGCAGCTGGTGACTTTACCGAAAGCTTTAAATCGAAAATTGTAACCCTCTGTTGTGAATAGCATCGGTCGCGAAAGCCTGCTTAGCGCGTTTAAACACTGGACACCACTGAACACTAAGCTACGGGGCTGCCCATAAATGACGTCACGCACCTATGGGGTGAGGGGGGGTGGGGGTGGGGGTGGGGGGTCAGACATTTGTGACGATGAGGGGGAGGGTGGGTGGGGTGGTGAGAGATGTGACGTCACATCAGAATGGGCAACTTTTAGAATGAATAAATGAACGTGGACAACACGTTCTACTTAATAAAATGAGACTTTGTGATGAATGTCTTCTGCTACATCGTCACAGAGTACAGCTCCACGTCACATTCGCGTTACGATGACGACAATAGTTTAAGGCGATTTGAAGCGAGTTTCATTTTTTATTTTGTGTGGGGTGGGGGGCAGAGCTTTGTGACGTCATAGTTGAGGGGGAGGCAGAGCTTTGTGGCGTCATAGCTGAGGGGGGGGGGAAGAGCTTTGTGACGTCATAGTTGAGGGGCGTGATTTGCTTGCTGTGACGTCATAGTTGAGGGGGGGGCGTTTGACTTGCTGTGACGTCATAGTTGAGGGGTGGGGCGTTTCACTTGATGTGGCGTCATAGTTGAGGGGAGAGGCGTTTGACTTTCTGGGACGTCATAGTTGAGGGAGAGGCATTTGACTTTCTGGGACGTCATATTGAGGAGAGGGCGCGTTTGACTGGCTGTGACGTCATAGTTGAGGAGGAGGGTGTTTGACTTGCTGTGACGTCATAGTTGAGGAGGGGGGGCGTTCGACTTGCTGTGACGTCATAGTTGAGGGGAGAGGCGTTGACTTGCTGTGACGTCATGTTGAGGGGGGGGGTGGGGGGACGTTTGACTTGCTGTGACGTCATAGCAGAGTGGTGGGGGAGGGGGTCAAAGGTCGTCCAAAAAAAATCGCGTGACGTCATTCATGGACGTCATTCACCTTAAAGGGGGGGGGTGGGGGGGGGGGGGGGGGGTCAAAGGAAAAAAAAATAATTTCACCGACAGCTCCTCAACTTGAGCTCGTTCGGCTCCTCATCCGACCGCGGATGACGTCACCTGGCCCCTCCCCTCCCCCCCCCCCCCCCCCCCCCCCCCCCCGCTGCACGTGGGGGCCCCGGCAGGGTGGGGGCGGGGGGGGGGGGCACAGGCCCAGGAGGAGGCAGCAGGGGCTGCATCGGTGCACGACCCGGAAGAGAGTCACGTGGGACGGAGGGCAGCTGCCTCGCAGGCCTCGGAACCTGCGGCACCACGTGGGAGGCAGGGGCAGGGGCAGAGGCAAAGGCAAAGGCAGAGGCAAAGGTGCCCCGCGTAGCCTGCTAGAGCATGTCGGGGGGCAAGTGCAGTCGCTCGGGTTGCTCAGTCAGTCACTCGGTTGCTCAGTCAGTCAGTCAGTTACTCAGTCAGTCACTCAGTCACTCAGTTAGTCACTCGGTTACTCAGTCAGTCAGTCACTCGGTTACTCAGTTACTCAGTCACTCGGTTACTCAGTCAGTCACTCAGTCACTCAGTCAGTCAGTCAGTTACTCAGTCAGTCACTCAGTCACTCAGTTAGTCACTCGGTTACTCAGTCAGTCAGTCACTCGGTTACTCAGTTACTCAGTCACTCGGTTACTCAGTCAGTCACTCGGTTACTCAGTCAGTAAGTCACTCAGTTACTCAGTCACTCAGTCACTCGGTTACTCAGTCAGTCACTTGTTTACTCAGTTACTCACTCAGTTACTCAGTCAGTCACTCAGTCAGTCACTCGGTTACTCAGTTACTCACTCAGTTACTCGGTTACTCAGTTACTCACTCAGTTACTCACTCAGTTACTCAGTCACTCACTCACTCAGTCACTCACTCACTTACTCAGTAAGTCACTCACTCAGTCACTTGGTTACTCAGTCAGTCAGTCACTCAGTTACTCAGTCACTCAGTCACTCGGTTACTCAGTTACTCAGTCAGTCACTCAGTCACTCGGTTACTCAGTCAGTCACTTAGTTACTCAGTTACTCACTCAGTTACTCAGTCAGTCACTCAGTCAGTCACTCGGTTACTCAGTCAGTCAGTTACTCGGTTACTCAGTTACTCACTCAGTTACTCACTCAGTTACTCAGTCACTCAGTTACTCAGTCACTCGGTTGCTCAGTCAGTCACTCGGTCACTCAGTTACTCACTCAGGCACTCAGTCACTTGGTTACTCACTCAGTCAGTCACTCACTCAGTTACTCAGTCACTCGGTTACTCAGTTACTCAGTCAGTCACTCAGTCACTTGGTTACTCAGTTACTCAGTTACTCAGTCAGTCACTCGGTTACTCAGTCAGTTACTCACTCAGTTACATAGTCACTCAGTCACTCACTCAGTCACTCAGTCAGTCACTCACTCAGTTACTCACTCACTCACTCAGTCACTCAGTTACTCGGTTACTCAGTCACTCACTCACTCAGTCACTCAGTCAGTCACTCACTCAGTTACTCACTCACTCAGTCACTCAGTTACTCGGTTACTCAGTCACTCACTCACTCACTCAGTCACTCACTTAGTTACTCAGTCACTCAGTTACTCACTCAGTCACTCAATCACTCACTCAGTTACTCAGTCACTCAGTCACTCACTCAGTTACTCAGTCACTCAGTTACTCACTCACTCAGTCACTCACTCAGTTACTCACTCACTCAGTTACTCACTCAGTCACTCACTCAGTTACTCAGTCACTCACTCAGTTACTCAGTCACTCACTCAGTTACTCACTCACTCAGTTACTCACTCAGTCAGTCACTCACTCAGTTACTCACTCACTCAGTTACTCACTCAGTCAGTCACTCACTCAGTTACTCACTCAGTTACTCACTCACTCTGTTACTCAGTTACTCAGTTACTCACTCAGTCACTCACTCACTCAGTTACTCACTCAGTCACTCACTCACTCAGTTACTCACTCAGTTACTCAGTCACTCACTCAGTCAGTTACTCACTCAGTTACTCACTCAGTCACTCACTCAGTTACTCACTCAGTTACTCACTCACTCAGTTACTCAGTCACTCAGTTACTCAGTCACTCAGTTACTCAGTCACTCACTCAGTCAGTCACTCACTCAGTCAGTCACTCACTCAGTTACTCAGTCACTCACTCAGTTACTCATTCAGTTACTCACTCACTCAGTCACTCACTCAGTCAGTTACTCATTCACTCACTCAGTCACTCACTCAGTTACTCACTCACTCAGTTACTCACTCAGTCAGTCACTCACTCAGTTACTCACTCACTCAGTTACTCACTCAGTCAGTCACTCACTCAGTTACTCACTCAGTTACTCACTCACTCAGTTACTCAGTTACTCACTCAGTCACTCACTCACTCAGTTACTCACTCAGTCACTCACTCACTCAGTTACTCACTCAGTTACCCAGTAACTCACTCAGTCAGTTACTCACTCAGTTACTCACTCAGTCACTCACTCAGTTATTCAGTCACTCAGTTACTCAGTCACTCACTCAGTCAGTTACTCATTCACTCACTCAGTTACTCACTCAGTCAGTCAATCACTCACTCAGTTACTCACTCACTCAGTTACTCAGTCACTCAGTTACTCACTCACTCAGTCACTCAGTTACTCACTCACTCAGTCACTCACTCAGTTACTCAGTCACTCAGTTACTCACTCAGTTACTCAGTCACTCACTCAGTTACTCAGTCACTCAGTTACTCAGTCACTCATTCAGTCACTCACTCAGTCACTCACTCAGTTACTCACTCAGTCACTCACTCAGTTACTCACTCAGTTACTCACTCAGTCACTCACTCAGTTACTCACTCAGTTACTCAGTTACTCACTCAGTCACTCACTCAGTCACTCACTCAGTCACTCAGTTACTCACTCACTCAGTTACTCACTCAGTCACTCAGTCAGTTACTCAGTCACTCACTCAGTTACTCAATCACTCACTCAGTTACTCACTCAGTCAGTCACTCACTCAGTCACTCAGTTACTCACTCACTCAGTTACTCACTCACTCAGTCACTCACTCAGTTACTCAGTCACTCACTCAGTTACTCAGTCACTCACTCACTTACTCACTCACTCAGTCACCCACTCAGTCACTCACTCAGTTACTCACTCAGTTACTCAGTCACCCACTCAGTTACTCACTCAGTTAATCAGTCACTCAGTCACTCACTCACTCAGTTACTCAGTCACTCACTCAGTTACTCAGTCACTCAGTTACTCAGTCACTCAATCACTCAGTTACTCACTCAGTCACTCAGTTACTCACTCAGTTACTCACTCACTCAGTCACTCACTCAGTCACTCACTCACTCAGTCACTCACTCACTCAGTTACTCACTCAATTACTCACTCAGTCACTGACTCAGTTACTCAGTTACTCTGTCACTCAGTCACTCACTCAATCACTCACTCACTCAGTCACTCACTCACTCAGTTACTCACTCAGTCACTGACTCAGTTACTCAGTTACTCAGTCACTCAGTCACTCACTCAGTCACTCACTCACTCAGTCACTCACTCAGTCACTCACTCACTCACTTAGTTACTCACTCAGTTACTCACTCACTCACTCAGTTACTCACTCAGTTACTCACTCAGTCACTCACTCAGTTACTCAGTCACTCAGTTACTCACTCAGTCACTCACTCAGTCACTCAGTCACTCACTCACTCAGTTACTCACTCACTCAGTTACTCAGTCACTTACTCACTCAGTTACTCACTCACTCAGTTTCTCACTCACTCAGTTACTCAGTCACTCAGTTACTCACTCAGTTGCTCACTCACTCACTCAGTCACTCACTCAGTTACTCAGTCACTCAGTTACTCACTCACTCAGTTACTCACTCACTCACTCAGTTACTCACTCAGTCACTCACTCACTCAGTTACTCACTCACTCAGTTACTCACTCACTCACTCAGTTACTCACTCAGTTACTCACTCAGTTACTCAGTTACTCAGTCACTCACTCAGTTACTCAGTCACTCAGTTACTCACTCACTCAGTCACTCACTCACTCAGTTACTCAGTCACTCAGTTACTCACTCAGTTACTCAGTCACTCAGTTACTCAATCACTCAGTTACTCACTCACTCAGTTACTCACTCACTCAGTTACTCACTCAGTTACTCAGTCACTCAGTTACTCAGTCACTCAGTTACTCACTCACTCAGTTACTCACTCAGTCACTCACTCAGTTACTCACTCACTCAGTTACTCACTCACTCAATCACTCAATCACTCACTCAGTTACTCACTCACTCAGTTACTCAGTTACTCACTCAGTTACTCAGTCACTCAGTTACTCACTCACTCAGTTACTCACTCACTCACTCAGTTACTCACTCAGTCACTCACTCACTCAGTTACTCACTCACTCAGTTACTCACTCACTCACTCAGTTACTCACTCAGTTACTCACTCAGTTACTCAGTTACTCAGTCACTCACTCAGTTACTCAGTCACTCAGTTACTCACTCACTCAGTCACTCACTCACTCACTCAGTTACTCAGTCACTCAGTTACTCACTCAGTTACTCAGTCACTCAGTTACTCAATCACTCAGTTACTCACTCACTCAGTTACTCACTCACTCAGTTACTCACTCAGTTACTCAGTCACTCAGTTACTCAGTCACTCAGTTACTCACTCACTCAGTTACTCACTCAGTCACTCACTCAGTTACTCACTCACTCAGTTACTCACTCACTCAATCACTCACTCAGTCACTCACTCACTCATTCACTCACTCAGTTACTCACTCAGTCAGTCAATCACTCACTCAGTTACTCACTCACTCAGTTACTCAGTCACTCAGTTACTCACTCACTCAGTCACTCAGTTACTCACTCACTCAGTCACTCACTCAGTTACTCAGTCACTCAGTTACTCACTCAGTTACTCAGTCACTCACTCAGTTACTCAGTCACTCAGTTACTCAGTCACTCATTCAGTCACTCACTCAGTCACTCACTCAGTTACTCACTCAGTCACTCACTCAGTTACTCACTCAGTTACTCACTCAGTCACTCACTCAGTTACTCACTCAGTTACTCAGTTACTCACTCAGTCACTCACTCAGTCACTCACTCAGTCACTCAGTTACTCACTCACTCAGTTACTCACTCAGTCACTCAGTCAGTTACTCAGTCACTCACTCAGTTACTCAATCACTCACTCAGTTACTCACTCAGTCAGTCACTCACTCAGTCACTCAGTTACTCACTCACTCAGTTACTCACTCACTCAGTCACTCACTCAGTTACTCAGTCACTCACTCAGTTACTCAGTCACTCACTCACTCACTCAGTCACCCACTCAGTCACTCACTCAGTTACTCACTCAGTTACTCAGTCACCCACTCAGTTACTCACTCAGTTAATCAGTCACTCAGTCACTCACTCACTCAGTTACTCAGTCACTCACTCAGTTACTCAGTCACTCAGTTACTCAGTCACTCAATCACTCAGTTACTCACTCAGTCACTCAGTTACTCACTCAGTTACTCACTCACTCAGTCACTCACTCAGTCACTCACTCACTCAGTCACTCACTCACTCAGTTACTCACTCAATTACTCACTCAGTCACTGACTCAGTTACTCAGTTACTCTGTCACTCAGTCACTCACTCAGTCACTCACTCACTCAGTCACTCACTCACTCACTCAGTTACTCACTCAGTCACTGACTCAGTTACTCAGTTACTCAGTCACTCAGTCACTCACTCAGTCACTCACTCACTCAGTCACTCACTCAGTCACTCACTCACTCACTTAGTTACTCACTCAGTTACTCACTCACTCACTCAGTTACTCACTCAGTTACTCACTCAGTCACTCACTCAGTTACTCAGTCACTCAGTTACTCACTCACTCAGTCACTCACTCAGTCACTCAGTCACTCACTCACTCAGTTACTCACTCACTCAGTTACTCAGTCACTTACTCACTCAGTTACTCACTCACTCAGTTACTCACTCACTCAGTTACTCACTCACTCAGTTACTCAGTCACTCAGTTACTCACTCAGTTGCTCACTCACTCACTCAGTCACTCACTCAGTTACTCAGTCACTCAGTTACTCACTCACTCAGTTACTCACTCACTCACTCAGTTACTCACTCAGTCACTCACTCACTCAGTTACTCACTCACTCAGTTACTCACTCACTCACTCAGTTACTCACTCAGTTACTCACTCAGTTACTCAGTTACTCAGTCACTCAGTTACTCACTCACTCAGTCACTCACTCACTCACTCAGTTACTCAGTCACTCAGTTACTCACTCAGTTACTCAGTCACTCAGTTACTCAATCACTCAGTTACTCACTCACTCAGTTACTCACTCACTCAGTTACTCACTCAGTTACTCAGTCACTCAGTTACTCACTCACTCAGTCACTCAGTCACTCAGTTACTCACTCACTCAGTTACTCAGTCACTCAGTTACTCACTTAGTTACTCACTCAGTCAGTTACTCACTTAGTTACCCACTCAGTCAGTCACTCACTCACTCAGTTACTCACTCATTCAGTCAGTTACTCAGTTACTCACTCAGTTACTCAGTCACTCACTCAGTCAGTCACTCACTCACTCAGTTACTCAGTCACTCACTCAGTCACTCACTCACTCAGTTACTCACTCACTCAGTCAGTCACTCACTCAGTTACTCATTCACTCACTCAGTCACTCACTCAGTGTGGTGGTGATGGTGGTGGTGGTGATGGTGGTGGTGATGGTGGTGGTGGTGGTGATGGTGGTGATGGTGGTGGTTGTGGTGGTTGTGGTGATGGTGGTGGTGGTGGTTGTGATGGTGGTGGTTGTGGTGGTGGTGATTGTGGTTGTGGTGGTGATGGTGGTGGTGGTGATGGTGGTGGTGATGGTGGTGATGATGGTTGTGGTGGTTGTTGTTGTGGTGATGGTGGTGGTGATGGTGGTGGTGGTGGTTGTGGTGGTGGTTGTGGTGGTGGTGATGGTAGTGGTGGTTGTGGTGGTGGTGGTGGTGGTGGTGGTAGTTGTGGTTGTGGTGGTTGTTGTTGTGGTTGTTGTTGTTGTGGTGGTGGTTGTGGTGGTTGTGATGATGGTCGTTGTGGTGGTGGTGGTGGTGATGATGGTTGTGGTGATGGTTGTGGTGGTTGTGGTGGTTGTGGTTGTTGTGGTTGTGGTGGTGGTTGTGGTGGTGGTTGTGGTGGTTGTTGTGGTTGTGGTGGTTGTGGTTGTTCTTATGGTTGTTGTGGTTGTTGTGGTTGTGGTGGTGGTGCTGGTTGTTGTGGTTGTGGTGGTTCTGGTGGTTCTGGTGGTGGTTGTGGTTGTGGTGGTTGTTGTGGTTGTTGTGGTTGTTGTTGTGGTTGTTGTGGTTGTGATGGTGGTTGTGGTTGCTGTGGTTGTGAAGATAGTCGTGATGGTGGTTGTTGTTGTGGTTGTTGTGGTGGTGGTTCTGGTGGTGGTGCTGGTTGTGGTGGTTGTGGTGGTTGTGGTGTTTCTGGTGGTGGTTGTGGTGGTTGTTGTGGTTGTTGTTGTGGTTGTTGTGGTTGTGATGGTGGTTGTGGTTATTGTGGTTGTGATGATGGTGGTGATGGTGGTTGTTGTGGTGGTGGTGCTGGTTGTTGTGGTTGTGGTGGTTGTGGTGGCTGTGGTGGTGGTTGTGGTGGTGGTTGTGGTGGTTGTGGTTGTGGTGGTTGTTATGGTTGTTGTGGTTGTGGTGGTTGTGGTGGTTCTGGTGGTGGTTGTGGTTGTAGTGGTTGTTGTGGTTCTGGTGGTGGTTGTGGTGGTTGATGTCTCTCACTCCTTCTTCTCCGTGGCGATCCCCACGTCCGTCAGGACCGCCCCTACTCCTGTGTGTGGGGGGGGGGGTAATGGGGTCATTAGGTCACGAGGTTCATGGGGTCACACGCTTGAAAACATTTCACACGGCCACTGTGAATCCACCCACCAACCCACTCACCCACCCACCCAGTCACTCACTCACCCACCCACCCACTCACCCACCCACTCACCCACTCACTCACTCTCCTACCCACCCACTCACCCACCCACCCATCAACCCACTCACCCACCCACCCAGTCACTCACCCACTCACCCACCCACTCACCCACCCACTCACTCACTCACCCACCCACCCACTCACCCACTCACCCACTCACCCACCCACCCACTCACTCACCCACTCACCCACCCACTCACTCACTTACCCACCCACCCACTCACCCACTCACTCACTCACCCACTCACCCACCCACTCACTCACTCACCCACTCACCCACCCACCCACCCTCTCACCCACTCACCCACCCATCCACTCACTCATCCACTCACCCACCCACTCACTCACCCACCCTCTCATCCACCCATCCACTCACTCATCCACTCACCCACCCACCCACTCACTCACCCACTCACCCACCCACCCACTCACCCACCCACTCACTCACCCACCCACGCACTCACCCACTCACTCACTCACCCACCCACTCACCCACCCACTCACCCACTCACCCACCCATTCACCCACTCACCCACCCACCCACTCACCCACTCACTCGCCCACTCACCCACCCACTCACCCACCCACTCACCCACCCACTCACTCACCCACCCACCCACTCACCCACTCACTAACCCACCCATCCACTCACTCATCCACCCACCCACCCACTCACCCACCCACTCACCCACTCACTCACCCACCCACTCACCAACCCACTCACCCACCCACTCACTCACCCACCCACTCACCAACCCACTCACTCACCCACTCACTCACGCACCCACTCACCAACCCACTCACTCACCCACTCACTCACGCACCCACTCACCAACCCACTCACTCACCCACTCACTCACCCACCCACTCACCAACTCACTCACCCACCCACTCACCCACCCACCCACTCACCCACCCATCCACTCACCCACTCACCCACTCACCCACTCACAAACCCACCCATCCACTCACTCATCCACCCACCCACCCACTCACCCACTCACTCACGCACCCACTCACCAACCCACCAACCCACCCACTCACCCACCCACCCACTCACTCACCCACCCACCCACCCACTCACCCCCCCCACCCACTCACCCACCCACTCACTCACCCACCCACTCACTCACCCACTCACCCACCCACTCACCCACCCACCCACCCACTCACCCCCCCCACCCACTCACCCACCCACCCACTCACTCACCCACTCACCCACCCACTCACCCACTCACTCACCCACCCACCCACTCACCCACTCACCCACCCACTCACTCACCCACCCACTCACCCACTCACCCACCCACTCACCCACTCACCCACCCACTCACCCACCCACCCACTCACCCACCCACTCACCCACCCACCCACTCACCCACCCACCCACTCACCCACCCACCCACCACTCACCCTGCAAGTCCGTCACGACGAGCTCCCCGCCCGTGGCGTTGAACACCCAGTGCTGAAACGCGCAGAGCTTCTCCGCCATGCCCGCCCCCACCACACCCACGTCGCCACCGCCCCCATCGCTGTGGGCGTGACCCTTCACGCTGTGGGCGTGACCCTCCACGCTGTGGGCGTGACCCTCCCCCACACTGTGGGCGTGACTCCTCCCCACGCTGTGGGCGTGACCCTCCCCCACGCTGTGGGCGTGACCCTTCACGCTGTGGGCGTGACCCTCCCCCACGCTGTGGGCGTGACCCTCCCCCTCGCTGTGGGCGTGACCCTCCCCCTCGCTGTGGGCGTGACTCCTCCCCACGCTGTGGGCGTGACTCCTCCCCTCGCTGTGGGCGTGACTCCTCCCCTCGCTGCGGGCGTGACTCCTCCCCTCGCTGTGGGCGTGACTCCTCCCCTCGCTGTGGGCGTGACCCTCCACCACGCCGTCGGAGTGACCCTCCACCGCGGCCATCTCGCCGCCGTCCCGCGGGGAGAATTTGACGAAGCGCCCGGGCAGCCAGGACTCGAGGGTGGCGGCGGCCGCACGGCGGCACCGCAGGTGGACCAGGTAGAGGGGCAGCACCCTGGTGGGTGGAGGTCACCACCAACACCAACACCACCACCAACACCACCGACAACAACAACGACAACATTCATGGTCACGGCATCAGACTCAGCCACCTCGCCTGAATCCCTCCACGGATGTTCGCCTTCGGCGGGGGCGTGAGTAACCACGACCACCGCCGCTCCTCGCCTCTCGGTTGATGGGAAGGCGAGCCCCAAAGTAGCCCGGGGCTTACAGCTTCCCACACCTCACCGCCACGCTCCCACGCCCCCCTAACATTCTTTTCGTTCAGGTGAAGAGCCGCACCCGTGTCGTTCGGCAGTCTGCTGCCCCGAGTGGAGGACTGTCCGCCCCTCACGGTGGCAGGAGACAGAGCCGGTGCCACCGGGCCTCCCGAATGCCGCAGAGACCCAGGCGGTACCGGTCCGGCTCCCGACGGAGGAGCGGCAGCCTCTCCCTCCGCGGCGAGCTTTCGAACATTCCACGTGGCCGCACGAAGTGGCTTTTCGTTGTTTCTGGAGGAGCCCCGAGGGTAGAGATTCAGTCTCCTGGCTCCGCCAAGTTGGGGTTTGGCCGGGAGACGTCACGGACGCCTGTCCCCCCGGGGCCTCCGCCACAAGCTTATTGATTAGACAGTTTTTCAGTCGTGGTTAAGCGGTAACTTATTGAAAGGTTTGAGGGGTCACCAGCCCCTCGCACCCGTCCAGAGCCCCCAATTGGCGGAGCCGGGAGACTGAATCTCCACCCTCGGGGCTCCCACGGAAACAACGAAAAGCCACTTCGTGTGGCCACGTGGAATGTTCGGACGCTCGCCGCGGAGGAGAGGCTGCCGCTCCTCTGTCGGGAGCTGGACCGGTACCGCCTGGTACTGCACCACCACCGCAGCGTTGCCGGTCCGGCACCAGCGAGGCGGTGGGGGGTTTCGATTTAAAGCTTCCGTGACTGCAGGGATTCATATTCTTGGTTCTTTCGGTAAAGTCACCACCACGTAGAGGGGAAACAATTAAAAATAATAACAATATAAAACAATAAAATTATTGTAAAACGATAAAATTATTATTCTTGGTTCTTTCGGTAAAGTCACCACCACGTAGAAGGGAAACAATAAAATAAAAAATATAAAACAATAAAATTATTATTCTTGGTTCTTTCGGTGAGGTCACTACCACGTAGAAGGGAAACAATAAAATAATAAAAATATAAAACAATAAAATTATTGTAAAACAATAAAATTATTATTCTTGGTTCTTTCGGTAAAGTCACCACCACGTAGAAGGGAAACAATTAAAAATAATATAACAATAATATAAAAATTATAAAAAATGTAGAACAATAAAATTCTCACGACGTTTCGACTGCACGCAATCATCATGATGATTGCTTGTCTCGACTGCAACACAAGGTGGACTATGGTGGTGATGGTGGACTATGGTGGTGGTGGTGGTGATGGTGGTGATGGTGGTGGACTCTGCTGGTGGTGGTGGTGATGGTGGTGATGGTGGTGATGGTGGTGGACTATGGTGGTGGTGGTGATGGTGGACTCTGCTGGTGGTGATGGTGGACTGTGGTGGTGATGGTGGACTATGGTGATGGTGGACTCCGCTGGTGGTGGTGATGGTGGACTCCGCTGGTGGTGGACTCTGCTGGTGGTGATGGTGGACTGTGGTGGTGATGGTGGACTATGGTGATGGTGGACTCTGCTGGTGGTGATGGTGGACTCTGCTGGTGGTGATGGTGGTGGTGGACTATGGTGGTGGTGATGGTGATGGTGGTGGACGCTGGTGGTGATGGTGGTGATGGTGGTGGTGATGGTGATGGTGGTGGACGCTGGTGGTGATGGTGGACTATGGTGATGGTGGTGATGGTGGTGGTGATGGTGGTGGTGGACTATGGTGGTGGACTATGGTGGTGGTGATGGTGGTGATGGTGGTGGTGGACTATGGTGGTGGACTCTGCTGGTAGTGGTGGTGATGGTGGTGGTGGTGGACTATGGTGGTGGTGGTGATGGTGATGGTGGTGGACGCTGGTGGTCATGGTGGTGATGTTGGTGGTGATGGTGGTGGACTATGGTGGTGGACTATGGTGATGGTGGTGGTGATGGTGGTGATGGTGGTGGACTATGGTGGTGGTGGTGATGGTGGTGGACTATGGTGGACTATGGTGGTGAACTCTGCTGGTGGTGATGGTGGTGGTGATGGTGATGGTGGTGGACTCTGGTGGACTATGGTGATGGTGGTGATGGTGGACTATGGTGATGGTGGTGGTGATGGTGGTGGACTATGGTGATGGTGGTGGACTATGGTGGACTATGGTGGTGGTGATGGTGGTGGTGATGGTGGTGGACTCTGGTGGACTATGGTGGTGATGGTGGTGGACTATGGTGATGGTGGTGGACTATGGTGGACTATGGTGGTGGTGGACTCTGGTGGTGGACTATGGTGGACTATGGTGGTGGTGTTGTTGGAGCTCACCGCGGGGTGATCCCGACGCCTCCCCGCCTCACCACGTGACTTGTGAACGTCTCACAGAGCCCTCGGGCGGCGTTTTGCACCTCGCACTGCTGTGGACACACAGGCAGAGGTCCCCCAGGTAGTCCGCACGGTGCCGTAGGGGCAAGTGCACTCACTCACTCACTCACAACAGCAACAACAGCAACAGCAGCAACAACAACGTCACCACGACGCTTGTGCCAGGCCATGTGCACCTTGAGGACACGCTGGCAGGAGGTCACGTGGCAAGACCCAGCAGGTGCCACGGGTCGACTGACTGAGACGACCGAGACGACTGGCTGATGCACCACCTGTGCCCCCCTACTGTGCCAGGCTAGGTGCACCAGGAGGTCACGTGCCACGCGTCAACTGACTGGGATGAGTGGCTGATGCACCACCTGTGCCCCCTACCGTGCCAGGCTAGGTGCACCAGGAGGTCACGGGGCAGACCCAGCAGGTGCCACGGGTCGACTGACTGAGATGACTGAGACGACTGGCTGATGCACCACCTGTGCCCCCCTACCGTGCCAGGCTAGGTGCACCAGGAGGTCACGTGCCACGGGTCAACTGACTGGGATGAGTGGCTGATGCACCACCTGTGCCCCCCTACTGTGCCAGGCTAGGTGCACCAGGAGGTTACGGGGCAGACTCAGCAGGTGCCACGGGTCGACTGACTGAGACGACTGGCTGATGCACCACCTGTGCCCCGCTACTGTGCCAGGCTAGGTGCACCAGGAGGTCACGTGCCACGCGTCAACTGACTGAGATGAGTGGCTGATGCACCACCTGTGCCCCCTACCGTGCCAGGCTAGGTGCACCAGGAGGTCACGGGGCAGACCCAGCAGGTGCCACGGGTCGACTGACTGAGACGACTGGCTAGTGCACCACCTGTGCCCCCCTACTGTGCCAGGCTAGGTGCACCAGGAGGTCACGGGGCAGACCCAGCAGGTGCCACGGGTCGACTGATTGAGATGACTGGCTGATGCACCACCTGTGCCCCCCTACTGTGCCAGGCTAGGTGCACCAGGAGGTCACGGGGCAGACCCAGCAGGTGCCACGGGTCGACTGACTGAGACGACCGAGACGACTGGCTGGTGCACCACCTGTGCCCCCTACTGTGCCAGGCTAGCTGCACCAGGAGGTCACGGGGCAGACCCAGCAGGTGCCACGGGTCGACTGACTGAGATGACCGAGATGAGTGGCTGATGCACCACCTGTGCCCCCTACTGTGCCAACCTGCTGCGCTTTAGCCACCTGGCGCTCCGCTCGTTGTTGTGAGCGTCGCTCCTCCGCCCTCCGTTGTTGTTGGAGGGCGACTGCCTCCAACTGCCCAGTAGCGTCCTTCACGAGCCTCCTCCTCCACAGAGGCCGATCTTGACACCGCTGGTACCAGTCATCGGCAAGTCCACTCAGCTCCACGTCCTCCTGTACCACATCACTCCATCTCTTCTCTAAACCGTGCCGCGCCCGTTTAGCCCCCTCGATCCGGCCAAACAAAAGCTGTTTCGGCATGCGGTGGCTGGGCATGCGGGCTACATGACCCAGCCAACGCAGCCTTGCGTGCCGGAGGAGCTCACCGACGGGACTTTGCCCAGATCTTTCAAGGATTTGTGAGCTCCTCACACAATCCAGCCTGGTTAAACCCAGGATGGCTCGTTGGCAGGCCAGCCTAAATGTTTCTAACCGGCGAAGATGTTCCATTAGGGGGGGTCCACGTTTCGCAAGCGTAGAGAAGGGAGGGAATGACCGTGGCCGAGAAAACCTGAAGCTTTGTGCGGAGCGACAGACCAGGTAGCTTCCACACAGCGTTACGCAGCCGATGAAAAGATATTGCCGCTCGACTGATTCGGAGTGAGACCTCTGCTGTTAAACTGGAGCCGGTCATAAGCACACTGCCCAGGTATGGGAAACTCTCCACTCTCTCCACAACTTATCCATCACCGATTGGGAGTTGTGGGGGTGGAGTGTCCGATGGTACAAAATACCCAGGCAGGTGCTTAGTTTTGGTGGGGCTGATGGTAAGGCCCCACACCTCTGAGTGGCAAGCTCCAGGTTCAGCAGCAGCGCCTCCAACTCCCCCCCCTGAGTGTGCAACAATCACCAGATCATCGGCGTACGTAACACGCTTGACCAATCGGTAGCCGTGCCTCGACCGCACCTGGGCATCAACACCATCCATCATCACCACCCCCCCCCCCCCCCCCCCCGCCCACCAACCTACCAGCAGGGTTCTCGATGTGCCCCTCCCGTAACCTTAACACCACCCCCCCCCATCCCCCCCCCCCCTCATCTCTCTCTGGTCCATCACGTGGCCTGACCCCGGTCAGGGCTGCTGTTGGCTACCGGTGCTCTGCTGCTACGTTGACCGATTCTACGTCACTACCACAAAGATCAAAGATCAAAGATCCCCCGTGTAGCCTTAGCAGACTGCAGGGGCAAGTGCTGTTAGCGAGCAGCGCCTACGAAGGCCGGAACGGTTACACGACGGGGGAAGGGGGGGGGGGGTGGGTGGCCATCAGCACCACGCCCGACCGCCTTTGTCTCCCCAGCGGCAGCTGAATCGGCCTAGGCGAGCCACCCCCCCTCCCCCACCACCACCACCACCACCGCCACCGCCATCAACACCACCACCAACCACCACGTGGCCACGTGCTCGTGAGTGCCGCTAGTCACGTGCAGCGCCATCTTGCGGTTCTCCTCCACCAATCCGTCGGCAGCGTCCGCCTCCCGCTCCTCGTCCAGGGCCCCGTGCCGCTTGAGGACGCACGGCGTCCCGGCGGGGAAGTCGGGCCCCATGCCGGGACCCGCGATGGCCCTGAAGGCTCTGCGGTGCATGCCCCGGGCGAAGGACTTCCGCTCGACAGCCACGAAGCCCTGCAGCGGAGGGCCCCAGCGCGGGGGCATGTGCAGAGGGTCCCGGTAGTGCAGGGAGCTGAGCTCCACCGCCTCCCAGGCTGGACGAGAGGATGAGGAGGTGGGGGGGAGAGGAGGTGGCGGGGAGGAGGAGGAGGAGGGAGCCAACGGAGGGGAAGGAAAGAGGGGGGGAGGGGAGGGGTTGGCTAAGGCACTGGGGGCTCGTCCGGGTCGTAACATGGCGGAGCTAAAGATGGAGATTCAAGGAAGGTGCCGATCGTGAAGCCCAGATTCAAGGTTGTGAATCACGTCTTTGAAAGGGTTAATGAGTTGCAGTTTCAACTGCTTGTGAATTCCCGTCTGTAGGTTCTGACCCTGAGACCCGGTCTCTACTCTAGACTCTGAGACCCTGAGACCCAGTCTCTACTCTAGACACTCACCCTGAGACCCGGTCTCTACTCTAGACACTGACCCTGAGACCCGGTCTCTACTCTGGACTCTGAGACCCTGAGACCCGGTCTCTACTCTAGACACTGACCCTGAGACCCGATCTCTACTCTAGACTCTGAGACCCTGAGACCCGGTCTCTACTCTAGACACTGAGACCCTGAGACCCGGTCTCAACTCGAGACACTGACCCTGAGACCCGGTCTCTACTCTAGACTCTGAGACCCTGAGACCCGGTCTCTACTCTAGACACTGACCCTAGACCCGGTCTCTACTCTAGACACCGACCCTGAGACCCGGTCTCTACTCTAGACACTCACCCTGAGACCTGGTCTCTACTCTAGACACTGAGACACTGAGACCCGGTCTCTACCCTAGACTCTGAGACCCTGAGACCCGGTCTCTACTCTAGACACTCACCCTGAGACCCGGTCTCTACCCTAGACTCTGAGACCCTGAGACCCGGTCTCTACTCTAGACACTGACCCTCAGACCCGGTCTCAACTCGAGACTCTGACCCTGAGACCCGGTCTCTACTCTAGACACAGACCCTGAGACCCGGTCTCTACTCTAGACACTGACACTGAGACCCGGTCTCTACTCTAGACTCTGAGACCCGGTCTCTACTCTAGACTCTGAGACCCTGAGACCCGGTCTCTACTCTAGACTCTGACCCTGAGACCCGGTCTCTACTCTAGACACTGACCCTGAGACCCGGTCTCTACTCTAGAGACTGACCCTCAGACCCGGTCTCAACTCTAGACACTGACCCTGAGACCCGGTCTCAACTCTAGACACTGAGACCCTGAGACCCGGTCTCAACTCTAGACACTGACCCTGAGACCCGGTCTCTACTCTAGACTCTGAGACCCGGTCTCTACTCTAGGCTCTGACCCTGGTCCCGGTCTCTACTCTAGACACTGAGACTGAGACCCGGTCTCTACTCTAGACACTGAGACCCTGAGACCCGGTCTCTACTCTAGACTCTGAGACCCTGAGACCCGGTCTCTACTCTAGACACTGACCCTGAGACCCGGTCTCAACTCTAGACTCTGAGACCCGGTCTCTACTCTAGACACTGACCCTGAGACCCGGTCTCTACTCTAGACTCTGAGACCCTGAGACCCGGTCTCTTCTTTAGACACTGAGACCCTGAGACCCGGTCTCTATCCTAGACACTCACCCTGAGACCCGGTCTCTACTCTAGACCCTGAGACCCGGTCTCTACCCTAGACACTGAGACCCTGAGACCCGGTCTCTACTCTAGACACTGAGACCCGGTCTCTACTCTAGACACTGAACCTGAGACCCGGTCTCAACTCTAGACACTGAGACCCTGAGACCCGGTCTCAACTCTAGACACTGACCCTGAGACCCGGTCTCTACTCTAGACTCTGAGACCCGGTCTCTACTCTAGACACTGACCTTGAGACCCGGTCTCTACTCTAGACTCTGAGACCCGGTCTCTACTCTAGACACTGACCCTGAGACCCGGTCTCTACTCTAGACTCTGACCCTGGTCCCGGTCTCTACTCTAGACACTGAGACTGAGACCCGGTCTCTACTCTAGACACTGAGACCCTGAGACCCGGTCTCTACTCTAGACTCTGAGACCCTGAGACCCGGTCTCTACTCTAGACACTGACCCTGAGACCCGGTCTCTACTCTAGACTCTGAGACCCTGAGACCCGGTCTCTACTCTAGACTCTGAGACACTGAGACCCGGTCTCTACTCTAGACTCTGAGACCCGGTCCCAACTCTAGACACTGACCCTGAGACCCGGTCTCTACTCTAGACACTGACCTTGAGACCCGGTCTCTACTCTAGA